CAATGAAATTGATTGAAAAGCCTTCACATTTCCAGGACAAACAATTTCTCCAGCTTTCATTAGGCATTCCTTGATGAAATCACCGTCAGTAAAAGGCTTCGAATGTTTAGCTATCAACTCGGACAAGACGTAGCTTGCATGTACCGCCGCTTCACTTTCTTGCAATACTTTACTAAACATGGACTGTTGCTTTTTCACTCCTAACTTGAGCTCTTTCAACTTTTCTTCTCTCATTAATCCTTCGTAATTGTGTTGTTCGTAATGGCGTTTAATATTATATAACTTTGGTACATTAATAGTATTATTACATATCAAGCAGATTATTTTATCTTTTATTTCACAGCAAAAATATTCTAATTCCCATTTTACTTGGAATATTCTATGTTCGTCAGCGATTTTTCGTTTAATTTTACTACCACTTGGTTTTGATATAGACATACTGAATACAAAGGGCTGGAATAAACACGGTTAACGTTAAAAAGTTCACAAACATTTATTCTTTCCACAAGAGATAAATCAAAATGCTGAAATATTTCTTCAAAAATATTCTAACAATATCACAAAATGTCAAATGTTTAGCAAAAATCAATTCAAAACAGAGAAACTAATTCTATCTCACAGCGAAATCGCTACAAATCAATCACAGCATTAAGTAAACAAACAGTTCGCTAGAACTACAGCTACTACTGAGATGAGTTATTTGTTCTCGGTTTTATAAGCTTTATAATTAATTTCACGAATATACTGGAAACATCTATAAATATCTGGAGTTTTGTGGATGGCAACAGCAATTACGAGATATTTATTTATTGGGTATTAAATGCTTGTGCTATTCTATTTTTAACCTTCCAACGCAGCTGTCTTTTCAAAAATCGTCTGCGCTGCTAAGGCAACATGAAGCAAATCTAATTACAATTCTAAATAAAAAAAACTAACTAAACAAATAACTATGAAATCCGTAACAATATGAATTAAGTAATAATTAAAAATAAAGCGAAGTGCATATCGTACAAAACTATGATTGGAAAACTGAGACCATGAGTTCGGCCACATTCGGCTATCGGGGGATGCGTACAAGTTCTGAGTGCATGTGTCTCCCAAAAGCCGAAGGTAGCTGAACGCAAGCTGCTCACATGCATTTGTAATTTAAGTAGTGTGTGTGTGTCAGTTCGCTGTGAGTAATCTAACAACACTGAATAAATTATCGTTAATTACTTAGCAGTAAACATTTCATTTTTTCCTTCGTCGATATGTTATTTTATTATTATATATTATTATTTGCCGATATATTGGCCGGGCTGCAAAAATATTTGTTGTAGGCCGCATAGTGGATCAGAGAGAGATCCATACATGGTGGCCAGGTTTAGAATAATCTTGGCATTTCCATGGCCAAGAGAATTATCACATCACTAAACACACACACAGTGCCAACTGCATCATTGTCCACCATCCAGAATTAGGCAACACTTTCAATATGAGCCCCTGTATTTGCTGTGCCATCCCGAGACACAAGGCTGAAACACATCGAATAGTGCAGTCCCATTATGTATGTTGCCAATGACACCCACTAACCATCACCTGACTGTAGAATTTCATATATCACATTTTTCATAATAATTACGAGTTAGTGACTCCCATAAACACCATTTTTAGCATTATCTCTCCTGCTCTGGAGACTTCTTACGTGGTGCACTTCTTGGTCTAGAGGATATGAGACGTTAGATCAATGGAGTTTGACCACCTCTGTTAACCCTTTTGCTTTGCTCCTGAAACAACCTACTTCCCGTTGCACTCACATATATAAAATTTCATTTCATTCCGAGAACATTTACTTGGTTAAAAAAGTGTTAGTTAATAATTAATTTGACATCATTTTTGGAATTGTGTCCAAAACTACATCAAAAATAGTTTTAAAAAAATTCTCCTTTCCCATCACATATTAACATATTATCAAAAACCAAATGATGAACTTATGAAAAATACATACATGACAGAATGAGATCGCAACTGAATGCAACCAGGTTGTCTTCAGCAACGAATTGAGATTCAATTTAGGCGGTGATGACAACCATATACGAGTCCAGAAGTCCTATGATGAATGCCTCAATCCTGCCTTAGCTCTACAATTCACACTATATTCCCATAGGTGGTGTAACAGCATGTTGTTGCATGTGACATGGTTTGTCTTATCTTTAATATCCCCCCCGGGATCAACACAGAGAACTCTGTGAGGCTACTGGCTAGGAACTGTACCTAGGCAGTCTCGGCCACGGGGGCATAAAATCATTGAGCTTGGCGGTTTCCCCTGACCTGGGTGGTTAGACCCCGTGCACGGGCTTCGGGCATTACAAGTAGTACTGGCAGGTAGCACTTTCAACGACCAGTCAAATCTCCAAGTTTATAGTTTTCTCCCACCTGAGAACCGGGAGTGGTGACCCCGCAGGCCCAGTTCTCAGGTTATAAAGACCTATTTTTAAAGCCTGCCAAGTGAAAATGGTTATAAAGACCTATTTTTAAAGCCTGCCACTCCGGCCTAGGGCCCCAGGGTGCTAGCATGATTAGCATGTATTTCAATTATTAAATATTATATGTATACACGTATACAATTATTAAATATTATTAAATTATCTTTAATATGATCCACAGCACCATGATAGCCCAGTGGTACATTTATGACATCAATCAGCTACATGTACTGCCACTCACAGCACCAAAGAAACATTTTTCAATAGGATAATGTTCAGTTACATACAGCAGAGGTGTCTAAGGAATGCCTCTGTCTAATTACAGCTTTTCCCTGGCCTGCCCAATCTCCAGATCCATGACTGATCAAGCAGTCTGGGATCATTTGGTACAACACGTTAGACAACCTAGAAATCTGGTCAAATTAAAGGTGCATTTACAGCAACTATTGAATCAGATGATGCAAGCACATCATACAGGATGCTTAAACACCTGCCCATATCACATCATGTATTCACACTAGAGATGATCCAACAAGATACGAGAAACTCCATTCATTTGTAGTTTTTCCTGTAAAGAAATGACCCTTTTGCTTTGGTGCTGAAACCACGCACTTCCCGTTGCCCTCATATATATAAAATTTCATTTCATTCTGAGAACACTTAGTTAAAAAAGAGTTAGTTAATAATTAATTTTACATCATTTTCAGAATCGTGTCAAAAACTACATTAAAAATAGTTTTAAAAAATTCAACATCACATATTAACATAATTATCAACATACATATTAACAAATTTTCAAAACCAAATGATGGACTTATGAAAAATACGTTCTGAATCACCAAAGTCTCGGAATGTGAAGTCAGATGGTATCTGTAAGAACAAAAGTACATTTTATGGTTTAACCAATTGTTTCCTTTTTTAATTACTATATTCTTATACACTGGTTATCACTAAGGAAAAATCACAAAAATGACAATTACTCAAAAGGTTACATGTAGCATTTAATGAAACTGACCCACAGTATACAACACACGATAAGGTATAAAATAACATGAAAAGAAACCAGATAATTATGGTGTTAAAGAAATTAATATATGTATAAAATGTATCAGTGAAGGATAATTACCTTCAATATGGAGTATGATCTTCCCTAAAAGCAATACAACACATACAAGAAGGTGTGATGCTGTCAATTATGCAGTCTATCAGTTCCACAGGAATTGAGAGCCATTGCTCTTGCAAAGCAGTTGCAACCATGGCAAGGGTCTGAAGAGAAGGACTGAGAGCAGCTATACATATTCCTAAAGCATCCCAAACATGCTCGATAGGATTCAGGTCCAGTGATCGAGCTGGCCACTCCATGCACTGAATTGTTTGCTGCTGAAGATAATCATCCATGATGCAGCCCATATCGTCCTGTAGAGGAAATCACCACTTACTTTGCTCCGGCATAAGGGTGCATATAAGTATCAAGAATGTCATCTTTATAGGCTAGAGCATTCATGATTCCACATGGAAAGATATGCAAATCTGTGCGTCCACTCAAAGAGATACCACCTCCAAACACAGAAATTATCTGTTCCATGTGTATCTCTTTCACAGATGTTTGATGGATGATAATGGGCTCCAGATTCTCTCCATATCAAATAATGTCTACTGTCACTTTGGAGGCAAAACCTGGACTCATCCATAATGAGAACGGCCCTCCATTGATCAGCTGTCCAGTGGACATATTAATATGCCAAACTCAAACATTCCCTTCTATGATGTGATGCGAGAGCCAAGCAAATGGCTGGTTGCCTCGTGTACAGACCTCCTTTATGAAGCATTCTACCCACGGTTGACACTGACATCAATTCCAGTGGCTACAGCAAGGAAGGTTCTATTCCTTCGTGTGCATAACAAATATCGGTCATCAGTGCTCATTGTCCTTGGATGAACCTTCTGGATTTCAAATTCTGTGGTTAAAAATTGTTGCCAAAGTCTAATGAACCTCAGACGGACTCACATTTAACCATCTGATCACTTTTGTCCAACTTTTTCCAGCCTCTAGTTTCCCAATAGCTCTCTATCCCAGTTCTTCGGGCAAATGATGTCTGGAGGTCATTGCTACAAATTGGCTATCCCAGATTTCTTATCTCAGAATCACAGCAAAATCTGCAAACTTGCATGAACCATGCAATTTTATGCTCCTTGCAGATGATGTATTTTGATTGAAGGCCACTAATTTGCATACTGCTGTTTTTACTCAGCAATTCTTATTTAACAATATATTCAAATTTTATAGACTGGCTAATTTTTGAACACGTTATCACTATTTCTGTGATTTTTCCTTAACTTTTAGAAACCAGTACATGGCCATTAGTGATGCTATCGTATATAAAAGCTCTTTCTCATTTTTTTTTTATTTATATATATAAAATACTTATCAGTTTTCTTATATGGGAGGAAGACCTTACATTCATAGTAATAATTTTGTGCAATTAATTCAAAATTTTTTTAATCTATAAAAATTGAATTTACTATAATACATACCACATGTCATTACCATTCTATATATTTCATCATCATCATCATCATCACGTTTAGAAAATGAACCTGGCTTGTTGTTGTCTTCCATTAGAAATTCTTGCCAATAATTTCTGCAAAGCAAAAGAATAAGAAAATGTGAATAGAAAAGCCATATCATTACAAAATGTTACAAACTTAAATTTTGCATATTAATTTTTATAAATCAAAAACTTTTATAACACTGAATACAACAAAATAAAATTAATGCAATATTCACAACATAAAAAAATATTAATCCGAAATTTAAATTTATAAAAATTCAAGTAACCAAGAATTTATAAACTTTTTAATTCACAATACTTTATATGCATATTCAGCTCATTCTCAAAAACATTAAACATTTTAATATCTCGTAACACAAAAATATACACATACCAAAATTATGATGAAAAATAACAGAAAAATTGTTGTGGATGATAACAGCACAGGTATAATGAAAGTAAATAAGATACAACAGTCTAATATGAAATATATCATTTAAGATTTAAAAAAAGATGTAATACTTTTTGTAATTCATGAAATTAAATGTTCATTTAAAATTTGTTTAAAATAAACAGCCCAATGAGTTCTAAGAGATAAGTAGCATTGTTTCCCGACTTTATGAATGCATTCACTCATTCAATCCCCATAGTCATGCTTACACAACACAATTGACATATTTATATTTTACATCATAAAAACAAAATTTCAGTGAAGAACTCTAAAATTTCTCATTTCATTTCTCATAATTTATTTATAATATACAAGCCGAAACTAAAATGAATTCCGAAATTTTATATTTTAACACTGAATTAGCTTTTCATGCAAAATTTTTGCAAATATTATAGGGTCCTGTCGGTCGCGAAAAAATCTCAGTGATAAAAAGGGGTTGCGAGAGAAAAAAGTTTAACAAACCCCATTCTAGACAAATTATGATGAACAAAATGGCCAAAAAAGATTCTTTCCTTCAATTTCTATGAAGCATTCTTCCTACCATATAACTACAAAAGGTATAAAAGAAGAGCTACAGATTTAGCAATAAGTCCTTGTTAAGTTCCGAGACAAAATTTAAAACTTATTCATCACTGGTCATACAGGCATAAACCTGGCTCACTAACTGCGCAATTCCCCTCCAATTTTGAGGAAGAATACAACAGGGAGGGTGGTCTTGCAGTCTGCTATCTCTCTTCCCCTACCACCAAATCTCTCAAGAGGGCTTTTGGCTGGTCGTGTGTTTTGAGAGCTTCTATAGCTGCACAGACAATGTATGCTTATACATATTTATGCCATCTCTGGGATTTGAACCTAAGCAAATCAGTTTGGCAGCCAGTGTCACTAGCCACTATACCAGCTGGGCAGTCCTTAAGACAAGAGCATCAGAAAAAAGGAAATAAAACAATCCTAGCAAAATATATGACATTTTTTACCACTTACACATACAACATACATAAAAAAATTATAATGTCTGATAGAGAAATTTAACTTTCTGTCCAATCTTCTAGGAAATTTTTCATACATGTTTGTTTTAAAATCTTTGTCAATAAGTTGCAGTAACTCCTAAGGGCATATTCTTTGCATGGAACTTTTCTTTTACTGAGATGTACGCACGTGTATATGTATGTATGTGCAAATAAGTCTCTGTATACATACATACGTACCCACATATATACATGTTTATATGAACTCTTACATCCATACATACTTGCATACATACACTTCTGAATCTGGTCCTGATAACAGATGAGTATCCTTTGTAAACTAGTGGCTCACATACAAATGCTTCTTATAACAAATGTCCCACAAACCATCCACATACCTAGATCGAAAAATATCCTGCTTTGCAAACTGCATGCAATTTTATCACATATTAAACATACAGCTAAATTCATTTTGAAGCCCAGTGACTAGCACTTTGCGCAGCAGCACCACAGGTCCGAGGTTTGATCCCCAGGCTGGACAAGGTTGATTCATCCTTTCATCCCTTGAGTGGGTCGATAAAATAAGTACCAAGTTCGCTTGGAGACTAAACACCAAGGGTCCTGCAACAAACTGATGACTTGTTCAGGGCTTATGCTCATGCACCCTGGTGCCCACAGTTAAGAAAGCAGATTTTCGAGCACTGCAGGCCTTGGCCTACTAGGGCTGTTGCACCACCGAGTTTAGGAAATTCATTTTACTTTCTATTTTAAATAATATATGCACGACTTAATCATAAGAGCAGACAAATATGCATATTTCTTAATAATATTGTAAAATTTGTAAATATTTAAATCCATTTGATTGCACTGTTTTTACCCATTCCCAGTATTTAAGTTGATTTATTTTAACAATAATTTTATTTTAATTTAAATATTACAAGATAATTAAACTAAAATTAAAATACAGGGCGATTCATAAAGAAGTATTCAGTTTCAATGCACTATAAATCAAGAACAATGTAAGATATTATATATTACCTATAACAGAATTGTATGGAATTATTTTAAGTTTTGTTAAAGACAGTCACAAATGTGCTATGTATGAAACCTTAATCACACGGCACAAGTCGGTAAAAAATCTCACCTCTGATAACCATCCGGTTAATTAGAGAACTTCCTGTTTCTCGAGAGACTAATTTTCAGTTAGATCTATCTGCAGAAATGAGTTGCAGAAATCCCCTGGTGCGGTTCTGGACAAAAAGGATGTCGTAAAAGACCTCCCCTAAAGCATTTCCTAAAGACGTTTAACTAAAAGGGAAAGAAAGGGGCTTTTGTGATGCTGAGACAGACTGCTGGTCTGTTAAAAGACTGCTGGTCTGTTTATTTTCCATCTTGGATGATCTTACGCTACAGCTGTAATTAATTGGTGACAGCAGGTGTGGATATGGAAATCCACGGTAAAAGTTACAGACAACAGTCCAGTTAAAGTGAATACAGCTCTCCGCTAAGCTGTGTGGATACTAAAATCCACGGAGAAAGTTACAGACGACAGTCCAATTAAAGAGAATACAGTTCTTCGTTAAGCTGTGGGGATACGGAAATCTATGGGGTAAGTTACGGACACCAGTCCGTTGAAAGGAGAATTTTGATCTACTGAATTTCAGCTAACGTTGTGGGGCAGTTGGTGTCCAGATATCATGAGCAATTTTTTAATTTTGTGCGTCCATCTCGTGTCCGAAATTATTCTCGTATAGAGTAGTGAAAAACAAATTTCATCTGTGTTAGTAGTGGACCGTTAGGTTCCAAAAAATCCAGTCTGAAGATTATCAGCCTCTTGCTGGATCATCAGTTTCCAAAACGTGAAGTGCTGTGAAAATTGTAGCGTGTTGTGATAAAAGTGATATAAGTGTCGGGATCATCGGTTTCTGAAAAGTGAAGTGTTGTGAAGTTGTAGTGTGTGTGATAAAAGTAATATAACTGCCTGGATCATCGGCATTCATAAAACTTAAGTTGTGACGGCGTCTTCATATTCCAAGCATCAACCAGTGCATCAAGTGTCTACAAATCCAGGCAGGTAAATACTTTGGATTTTTATATTGAGGCAGTGAAGTAGTTGAAGTATTTCTGTAATTTAATTTATACATGTTCCTATAACTGTTATAAGTCGACATTGTTTTCTGTAAAACTTTAAAAAATGTGTCGATTTGGTTTCATGTTTATAATAAGAAAGCATAAATCTTAGATTTTAAATCTGTGTAATAAATGAAATGTTAAATGTTGTGCTAAAATTAAGCTTATATAATTGAATGTATAAAAGAGAAGAATTATGATAATTCTGAAGACTCTAAGGTTAGCTGGTATTTTGACAAATCCTTTCTAAGACGTCTTGAATGTTTTAAAGGTTAGAATTTTCAGTTAAGGTGTGTAAAACATTATTTGTGTAAGTGTAAGAACTGAAACATTTTTCTTTTCTGTTGAACTAGTAAAAAAGGAAGGCTAGAAACCTCCAGTATCTTACTTTAACTGTGTGTGAAAAATCAACATTTAATCTTGAGCATGTAGATATATGTTGTTTATTTTACCTTTGAATACGTATTTTAACATATCTCAAATTCTGATGAAAGTATATGGTTTTATCAAGTCTTTGAGTTAACGCAACTGAATTTAAAGTTTGTAAAATGTTTATAGTATTTGTAGTCATAAGCTCTCAAGTAAACAAATTATATTTGAACTCATAATGTGCATATTATAATGTAAATTGTTTTGCATTTGTGTTTAAATCTATAGAATATGTTGTGAAAAAATTAAGGGTTCAGTTTTACTTCTTCCTTTGTGAAAATGATATTTGTTTAATACTATCTTATGTATATGTAGCGAGAGGGAGTTAAATTTGTTAGGTTGTTATCATAATTTGGGCTTATATCATGGCATTCTTAGCAAAAGTTAGGAAAGAGGACCTTAAAACCTTGGCTGAAGATTTAGGGGAAAAATTCAGCCCAGCCCTGAACTTAGGATATTGAATTTAAGATAGCTGATTATGGAAAATGAATCCTACGAGGAGGAACTTAAACAAGGCCTGTTAGAAAATATCACTTCAACGAGGCATTAAAGAATTAGGAGAGAAGCAGAGAGGCAGGATAGAATTAGGAGAGAAGAAATGGAGTTTGAATTTTCGAAATTAAAATTACTAGCCGTAACAGAAATGACTTTTCAATTGGTGGGAATGAAAAAAATGGGCTTAAGAAAAGCTGTTACGATCTGCAGAAAATGATTCCAAAATTTGATCCTCAAGAAAACGATATTAGTTTGTATCTAGTCATGTTTGAGCGCCAAGCAAAGCGCGTGAATCTTCACCAATCAGAATGGGTTTCTGTTTTATTGACAGTTTTGCCAACTGACATAGTTCAACTGATTATGCAAGAGCAGCAGGCTTATGGCTACACTTACGTAAAGGGCATACTGCTTAAAAGGTTTAAACTTAGTCTAGAAAAAAATTTCGCATCAAATTTGTGCAATCACAGAAAGACACTCAAACCACTTATTTCAATTGGATATATGTAAACCACTTAGGTTTTATACCTGTGGCTTAAGGCCTCAAAGCATGAAAGTTCAAAAACATTTCAAATCACCAGCTTAATCACCATTTATTATAGTAAATAGGGTGCAGGATTATGAAGATTATTTAGCTCCGTACACAA